GAAGAAGTGACAACTGTGTTGTGCTGCATGACAATGCCTGACCTTTAATGTTAACCGCAATAAATAAGGAGAAAGAATGAATACTGAAAATTTACCAAAGTATAAAGCTGTGTTTTAGCTGTTCTGATTCTGCAAAAAGTTTCAAACACAAGAAGAAAATGGAGTTGTCATATCTGGCACTCACATTACAGACGTGCCAGCCTTGAGCTGGATAGAAGTATTTGCAGACACCTAAAATAAGTGATAGGACACATAGAAAGGGATCAAGAGCAAGTGTATTGGATTCAAAACTAGGTAGCATGTTTTGGTTTCTTTTAAACCTGAAATATGAGTTGTTGCCTTTTGACTTGTCAACATCAAAAGAACTTTTCTAAAAGGCAGAAAGAAGCCTACTGCAGCTGCAGCCCAGCACTTCTCACCCATCATTCACAGAAAGGGAGCTGATGGTTGCAGATGCTAATAGCAATTCTGTCGCTCCAACAGAAAGGCACTTGCTACCTGGATATGAGCTATAGTCAAACACTACATTGCAACATGTATTGTATCGTAATGTGTTAATCCTTAAGTTTCACTTCCTATTAAAAAGGTTCTGATGACACCTGGCACGCTGACGCACTTATTTCTAGCAAGTTTGATCCAGAAATACTCCAGCACTGCTTCTATTTTAGTTCTGGCCTTCTAGTTTAGTTCTGAGCATGCCAAATTCCTTAATGTTCACAGAACCAGGTTTATCAGAATCTAAACTCAGTACTTGAGGAACAATGAGTGGAGGAGACACCCACCAGACATCCACAACAACCTACAGTGTAAGAAAACCCCAAACCAAGCACGGGCTAATCCAGCACTCTAATGATAATCCACAAGTAACAATGTTAGAAATTCAAACACAATGAACAGATGATAACTGATGTCAGTCCTTCAAAGAGTGTTGTTTTGAAAGCATCCCCTGAATTTTCTCAAAGCCTTAACTTAGAAGGACATTTTTATACCCTGCATGAGAGGCAATCCAAGTATTTGCATACCAAGATGACTACTACTGCAGCCTCCAGGCATCAAACCCCAGCCCCCTGGAATGCAGCATCTCTGTATGCAGGCTCTCCTTGGCCTGTAAACGTTACAAACATCACGACCCTCTCTACTTTGTGTTCAAGTCCCTTCAATACTGACATTTTCCACAGAGAACAATTAAGACAGCAACGAGCAACACTTCATAGGAAGCCTATTGAAGCTGGTAGTTTCCATCTTCTATAACACAGGCTGAGTCACAAATGGAACCAAACCCAAGTATGACCTAGGAATCAGCTGGTGAACTTCCTGAAAACAGGAAAATAAAAATGAGCACAACTGAACAACCCCCAACCCCATACCTAGACAGGCATGCAACGCAATTCTTGCAAAGCTCTCTGGAAGACCCACTTCAATACATAAAGGGTTCATGTGGAGAAAGGAAAAAAAAATATCAAACACAAAAACGTAATAGTTTTTGTGATCCAAGAGAAACTATGTTTTCAGAATTCCTATATCTATACCACCAGTATCACCTTGCACTGCTTAGAAACCCCAAAAAGGTAACAGATAAAATATATCTCAGTGCAATGCAGCATATTGAGTACTTCCCCGTCCCTCACAACACCTGACAAAAATCCATTAACATTTAAACAGTTTGGCATGTAGGAGCTAACAGAGACCAGGTCCCTTCTGGGGCTGATGACTAGAAACCCTTCAATGAGATCTCCCAACTTATACTGGAATCCCATGTAATTTTCAACCAAATGCAGAGTTGAGTGGGGTAGCTGCCTTACAGCTGGATTCACCTTTTCCCTGCATCTTTTCTTCTTGCCTATATATAAATAATTGAGTACCTCCAGGATTACTATCTGGCAACTAATCTAGCAGAAAAGCAATCAAGCCAACAAGCCAGTTTTCAGCTGCACCAGCTCCCTCATCTAGCTCACCATGAAACCAGAAAAGCTTGTGCTAGATGAGGCAAGGGACAGAACCACAGTTTTAGCAACACCCTACATTACTTTCAGCTTAGCATGACCCTGAAAATGCTCCCTTTAACACCAAGTTTTGCCCTGGAAAAAAAATCACCTCAGGTGCCCTTAGTCAGAAATCTGCAAAGAGCAAAAGGACTGCAAGATGTAAATTAAACCTTTTTCCTGAAGTCTGATTACTTGCACCAAAGTACCACACTGCTTATTACAATTCTATGTAATGTAGTCTATAAACACAAATAAACTTTTCAAAGAATAAGTATTTAGAAAAAATATTAAATGCTTACCAATACCTACTGATTTTCCAAACGTGTTATCCCAACAAACATACTTAATTTACCTTTTAGCATATTCTAATGTCAGTAGAAATCGCCTATTCATTTTTTCTGCATGGCAAATCCCTTCATCATTCCTAATTCTGGGCACAGGGTCACCTAAAAAGCAGTATTTCCAAAGAGTCACATTCATTAATAATTCACACAGGACAAATCAATCTTCACTAGTCAAGAGGAGAAAGTGTCCAGATAAAAACAAAAACCTCTGAAAATTAATTTCAGCTGTTCTGCATTTCTTGTTTGTACTTTGAAGCTACATATAATCAATTAGTACAAGTAAAATACTGGTTCTGATAGGAGATTCTGGCACATAAACCAAACATTTTTGGAGGGTAAAATTTTGAAATAATCTGTTGTAATTTGAAAAATTCTGAGAAGATGGAGCAAGGAAGATGGGATCTAAGGAAAAAAAAACCCCACAATAAACAAACAGAACAAACCGTATCTACAGTCTGTTGAACTATTCAATTCAAATGTATCTATGATTTGTGGGACCTAGTAACAGACCAGGATAAATTACTGCAGCCTAAGCAAAAAATATTTTATTAGGCATAGGAATATAATAATGGACTTTTCAGTCATTTCCATTTCTAATTTTCCTGCTTCCATACTTAAGAAAACATGATTAGACAACTAATGTTCTTCCATCTTACTGAATCCCAGATTAGAAACAAGGGGCCAAAATGCAGCAGCATTTAAAAATCAGTTAGGCAATTCACAAGAAGTTATTCACAGTGAACAATAATCGTATGCCAAAACAAGTAGTATCAAATGGAAATAAATAGAAGTCTCAAAATCTTCTAAATTCACAGGGGTTTCCACCCCAAGGTAAAAAACCAAAAATTACTGCTTCTGCCTCATCCAAAATTGTATGTATTTTTACACAAGAGACAAACTGGCTTTCAGTATCTTATCCAAATTCTAGAACAACTAAAATTATTCCCTATTACTCAGCAGAAAGCAACAACCTTATAGAGGCAAGGATGAAGATTAAGCCATTGTGAAAACAAAAGTGCTTTTTTCCAAGTCCAAAGGCCAAGAATGTCTATAAGGGCAGAAGGAGACAAAAAGCAAATGTCAGAATCAACAGGCAAGAAGATACTATTTTAAAGTTTTTGGAAGTCAACCTAAAATTTACATTTCAAGACTACTGTACTAAAGAATGAGGTACAAGAAACAGTTTGCCTTAGGGCAACAACTACTACAACCCTCATACAATAAGTCTTAAAAGATCTCAGGATGCACCTTAAACACTCACTTTGTAATTTGTTCCTCCAACCTTTATGACTTTTACTGCCCCAGGAACAAGCAGGTGTCACAACCAAACTGATACAGCGTACAAGTACCAGACTAGAAACTTCACTTTTGACTTACAGTACAACTTCAGAGCAAGGCACACAGAATTTATGAAGGTCTTTTTAGAAACAACAGACATGAAACATGATTTTGTGCAGCGATTATTTAATGTATGCAGTTCCCTCAAAATTTCAGAGTTCAAATTTTCCAGTTTCATGGTCAGATTAGGTAGATTCACAGTTTCACCAAAAAAATTATTATTTCTTCCAATCAAGATATTGTGTAGCTACTTTCACTGGAGCAGATGGGGCATATTACAGGGCATGCTGCCCCTGAGTACTCATGTTAAGCAAGTCCAAGTCTACAAAGCCTCCTTCAGGAGCTGTGAAGCAAGTACTCAGGAACTGTGACTGAAATTAGCTGAAACATAATAAATTATACTGCAATAACTCTAAGTAGCACGACATGATTGAGGAATGGATTGTTACTTGCAGTCAAGATTTTGTACTAGAAATGTTTATTCTGTATAGTAAGCAACCAAACTGCAGAAGATACAGAAGGCAGATATATTAGCTTCTTGGGTATAAACTCAACTATGATAACAGTTCTTAATTACAACTACTTTATTTATCTGCTTGATTGCTCACACTTACTACTCTCAATCGATAAGCACTCCAATACTTGGGTGAACTTGACAGACTAATTTAGCAACTTCTTCTCAAGACTGAATTACATCTCTTAACTCTTTCTCTCAAGTGAAATGGGTTGAATTATACCCATTATAAAAGTGTACAGAGGAAACACTAACTGCATATTAAACTGGAAAATTAACTAGAGAAAGCTTCACATTTAACACAATTATGAAAGACAGAAATTGGAAAGAATCTTAAATTAAGATTTTTCCAGTTGTAGCAAAGGGCACAATAAATCAATTTTAAGAAGTTGTAGCTTTTAAATATTTTTTCATAAAAATATATATAGGAGAAATCAAACTACTTCCTAACAGAGATGAAACAAAGCAAAGCAATTAGAATAAAGGAATGTTTCTCATAACTTGATCCATTTATCTAACAAATTCCCTCTTCGTGGAGCATTAAATGCCTCCTAAACCAAACACACTGTAAGAACCTTCACCCTCTAAAATCAGACAGACAAGTTTTCAGAGAAGGTCCAATGCACACAAATTCTCCAAGATACATACACTTCAAAAGCACAGACAGAATGTAACAGTGCGACTCAAATCAACTCTTTCTATGCCCATACACTCTCCCTTCTAATTTCCAAGTGCTAGAGCTGTATCTCAGAAAAGTTTTTTGTTCCTTCCAAGAGATTTCTAACCAACAAACAATAAGACTCTGCAACATTTCCAATTAGTTCAGTTTTTTTTTAATGGTATGGGGCAATTCTTAGGGCAGACACTGTGTAGCTATTAACTACAAAATAAAGAGGTTTATCGGGGTGGTTTTGGAATCCCAATTTGAAATGTAAATTTGAATCAATGCAATTAACTGAAAAGCCAGAGTATCTAAAAATGCACACTAAGTTTTCACTTCAATTTTGCAATACTTCTTGAAGAACCTAGAAAACGTGAAGTTGGTAGAACAGTATCTATCACCAGGATTAAAAAACTGGAAGGAAATAACACATTGCCACAGTGATTCTCATTAAGTGAAGTTATTTTGTCCCAACAAATGTTTAAAAAAGTGTCAATGTTATTTAAAAAGTGTGGTATCCCATTCCCCTCCCCCAAGTATTTGAAGGCAGATAAACCTTTTTCCTTAGTCAAAATGAGTTTTAAAAAAAGTTTCTGAAACAACAGCAATAATCAAAAAACATGAATTGTATTTTCTTTAATCCATAACATCTCTAGTGTTGAAGGGCCATCCATGTAAAAAGCAGATTCTTTGGGGACATTAGTCAATTAACTTAATAAAACCCAGTTTTACGAGGATTTATCCTTCCTGCTGCGAGGCGAGTCTGCTCCATTTGAGGTCACTGTTCCATTTATTCCATTTTCTAGAAAAAAGAAGAAAACATTTTTCAAATATGAGACACTTTATATTTAATTACATTTTTGTAGGTTCTATGCACACAGCCTTTTAACTCTTTTCTAATGCATCTTCTTTGTTAAACTTCATCATCATCGTTGATAATGCAACAGCCTAATAAAGCTTTTACAAAGTCCAAAATTTTAAGTTCAATACAGTGAAGTTTTCTGACATGGCCAGACACTGAAATGTGTGCATTATATACATCTAGACTTAAAACCAAGATGAGCTGCAGTGTTTTAGAAGATGTTATCTTAAAAAGTAAAATACTCAACCTGTAGATGAGACTGTCCTGTGAAATTTGGGAGACACGCAGTATATAAACAATTCCCTGGTACAGGTCTTTGTTTATCCCACCTATTTAATATTTTAATACTTGCTAAAATTACACTCCTTCACTTACAAGCTGTTCACATAAAGGAAATCTTTATACACGAACACATAATTTTTGAAGTATATACTTTAGCATACAGAATTTATTTATGTTCTGATGAAGATATAAGATAGACAGAAGTAAAACAGTAGTTAGAAATTATGTGTACATGGGAAGACTTTAAGCAAAAGACCAGGCACCTAAGAACACAAAGCAAGAAGAACATGTTAGCAGCTGCCATTCTCTACTTCTATCCCACTTGTGGGCAAACCTGGAAGTCTCAAGAATTTTAATCTGTACAAGACTGTGAGTATTTGACACCAAAAATTTACCCTAGAACAATAACCCACAATCTATGGATTTATAGCACACACAACTTACAGTGGTATTACTGTGAATTAAAAGTACACCCTTTATTCAGTGTCGCCACAACCCAAGAAAGCAGAGATGTTGCCTGCCAGTAAATCATACTTATATGAGTGCACAGCCAGCTACAATGCTTGCTGGTTAACAACTCTGCTCCAAATTACAGTATTGTTCTGATTTCAAGCAAGTGTTACTTTTTTTTTTTTGTACAATTTACTGGTTAAATCATTGTTTTCCATCTGCAGATGTGTTGCAGGTCACCACATACTGTGGCCAATAAACAAAAACAACTGCTTATTTCCCTCTCTCCCCCGCTAGACCCAAATACTCCCATTTAAGCAAACAAGCAAGATAAAAAAAACACTCCAAAACCCAACCAGAAACATACATGGGAATGAGACCAGACAGAGGCCCAATTAGTTCCACAGTTACTGTCTAAGTCTATCCAGCATATTTGGTTGTAAATGAAACACCATTTTAGGCCTACATAAAGCAGTCTCAGGTTACTTTTCAAAAAGCTTGTGTTATTCTCATGTCAAACAGCTTACAAACAATGAGCTACACCCCAGCCAGCTAACTGAAATCCTATTTTCTTAAACAGTTAAGTCAAAACAAATGAAAGAAAACCAAGAACAAGAATCAACGTGTGCCTGGGTACTCCACCTACATCACCAGTAGGATTGTTCTACTGCCATTTCTTGGTTATGGCATAGTCTAAAAGTAATGCATCTTATTGTGCCTTGCTTCCCAAAAATTCACCCAGCCACAAGAAAAAAAAAAAAGACTGTTTTAAACAGTTTAATTGCATATATTACTCTTTCAAAGATACTGTCTTGCTGCATTCTGTGCGAGTGTTCTGACCAGATAACATTACAGGAATCTTAAAAACCAAAAGAATCTGAAAGGTTAGTGCTGTTTCAGATTACAAAGTTATTTTCATTCCATTTAAAGTAAATTGTAAAATTCTCCAATCTTTAGACAGGCATAGCTCAATTATTTTGTGAATTAAACCACAAGTCCAATTAATGGCTCTTCTCACCACTTGTTTACCACTTGCAAGTCTCTATTGAGTTGAGTGAAAATCAGCAAATTCACCAAATTACATGAATGAAATAGTTTAAGATATTTAAAAAAGCTACTACATTTTGACTTGCTGATTAAAATGTCATTTAAGCTTATGTTTCAAAAATATTTGCCTTAGAAGATTAATTCAACTCCACAAAAACATACTAAGACAAAACATATGAAGCTCTGATTAAGTAGGACACCTATACGTGAAAATCCCAACAACACACAAAAGTCAAGTCATGGTAATTACAAGTCATCAAATGCAAGCACAGAAATAATCTAAAGCACAATACTTTAATAAAAAAGAAACCTGGAAAAAAAAGATAATTGATTTGATCTCTGATCACAAATCCTAGTTCCCAGTGCAACTGGTTTTCACTCACATTATGTTCAGTAGATCAAAAAGTGGAATGGGTTGGCAGTATGTGATTGGTAGCAAAGGACTGTGCTGCAATAAGCTTTTGAAATGACTCAAGCAGTTTTAAAAAGGGTGCAGAAGTTATTCAAGCTATTAAATACACAGATGTTTAACTGTCATTCCACAGAAATACTTTGAGGAGTTTTCTTTTTTTTTAATGGAGCACATAACTTTCCTTGGAGAAAAAAAAAGCATTCAGTTCTTCTTTCATGCCCTTTGCCTTAAAAGAGTGTGACATAATCCAAAAAAAGTTAAATTATGTCATTAATCCAATTCCAAATGCTTCTACACAGGTTTAGACTAGTAAGTAGTTAATACTTCTCCTTAAAAGAAGTATCAGAATTTCATTTTTTGTAAAAACAGTCCTGTATAAGCTTATTTACTGGATCCTCAAGCCATCAACCTTTCCCTAAACTTCAGAGTTCAGAGGCAAGAAAAACGAGCTTGAAATTCATTGCAAGAAAAATCTGGAGGCAATTGATTATGGGAATAGATCTAAACATGTGTCTGTTTTCTTTTCATAAGGGAGCAAGGCATAAGCATGACACATTTTGCTCAAGTAATAAAATTAGTCATAATAAAAATCTCGTGTTGCATTCAATAAAGAAACTGTAATTCGTTCAATCAGAAGACAAAAATCAGTTAATACGTAGTGAATTTTACAATCCACAACAATAGCCACCAATACTCTTCCTCTAACTGTATCATCTCACTTGCAAGTGAAATATAAAATGTTTCCTTAGCAATTAAGATTTTAACAGGGTTCTCCATTACCTAAAGTTGGTTTTGAGCAGGCGAGGCAACAGGAAAACAGAAAATACAAACCTCTTTCTTTTCTGGAGTTCTTTCCTTTAGCTGTTATGAACTTCTTTTTCACTGACTGAGGCTGAGAAGAAGAATGTTCTCTCCATCTCCGAAGCTGGAAATTAATAAACTTCCACATCATAAATGCTTGGGCCAAGCAGATGGAGGCCAGCACACTGATTCTAGAAACATACAGGTAAAAGTTATCAGTAAAATTTATCTCATTCCAAGGAAAGTAGAACACCACCTCAGACAGCTTTTGTATGTCATAAACTGCCTCTTTACTGAGGTTCCTCAAACATATTAGAGTGGTTTGTTTTAGATGACACAAGTTTGTAAAAGTTCCAGGTTTTTGTTGTTGGGGTCTTTTCTTTGTTGCTTATGATTATATTTTTACTTCTCTCCCATTCCCCGAGTAACATCCATTTTCTAAACCATGCACAAATTGGCTCACGCTGTGTGACTGGCCTTAGCACAGCTGAAAAAAAAATAGTGAGAGTGAAGTCTTTGCCCCTCCATCAGAACTGGGAATCACTGGATTTCCTCCCTCCTTTCTCAGTACTACTCTCAAGATACCAGGTAGTAACAGCTGAAAATGGCTGAAAAGAGTCTAGCAGTTCTGCGTAGCAATCCTGCAGGGTAATACTGACACTGTCAATGTTTTAATAACTACCTTTTCTGAATTTAATTCATAAAAAGGCCAAGTGGTTGGCTGAACATTTGTAATAAAGGCAGAGAAAGAGGCAGGAATCTTCAACCAGGACCACAGGTGCTCTGGGCATAATGCCTTGACCTCTCTAGATAAAGTAGGTGCAATTATATCCAGAATTCAATTTATTAACTCTAAAACATTTGAAAGTAATCTCTGTAATTGGGTATTCCCTTTAATTCTGTTTTGCTGTCGAAAGAGAGCTACAGATTTCTCACCTGTAGTCTGTAAATTCTTAATTCTTTTCACGGTGCCTTATAAGTTTATTACAGAAGCTATTCCTTTTGATCCTATTGGTTTCATGAAAACACCTAACCATTCAGAATCACTAGAACTAATGCCATACCATTTATATTACTTATTTAATACAGGTTTACAGCTCATGCTTAAGAAGTGTTCCAAGTGTACTGTACCTAACAGCCAGGATATTGAAGTTTCCAGTACTGAAATTCAGCTGCTGATCTTCTGCTCTTGCCAGCCCAAATCCAAAAGTGAGGACTGAAAGAATCAAGGTGAGAAGCCTTGCCAGAACAAAAAGAACTGCCCACAGTGAAAATCTACAAAGAAAAACATCACAAACACTAAATGAATTTTCCATTCACAACATAAGTACTAATTGTTTGAAATTTAAGAACTCACCTAAATTATTTTGCACCTATCCTAGTCTTGTATTTCTAGTACTCATAGAAGACAAAAAGCAAGAAAAGCCCTGCCTCAATCTTTTTCTACAAACCAGAATTATGTTCTGAAAATTAATTTCAACTCAACAGAAGGTGCTTTCTATTACTATTAGAACATAACCATGTTATTAGTCCCTACAGAACTACCTGTACTCACAACCTATGCTATTCCTTTCCCTTTTTTTTTTAATTAGTACATAGTGTAAGATTTTATTTTATTTCATTTTGTACCACTACTAACATTTCCTTAAATAGGCAAAAAAGATTTAAAAAAATAACAGTTGTTTTAGAGATACAAATAATAAAACTAGTCTGGAGAACTGGGACTTCTAAGAAAACACTGTTTGAGCTTCTTTGTAATTTTGGTTTCTGGTTAGTTAAATGTACACAGCTTTGAGACAGAAATTACATTAATTTCAAAGATAAACACTACTTACCCTTTCTGGTATCTTTCATCACTGAAGTAGAAAAGACGGGATATGTGGAAAAGAAATTCAACGAAGTAATGCAATACCAGAAGAACAAGTCCAAGATGGGTCAGACTATCAAAACATATCAAACAAACATTCAGACATTTTGTCAGATGCTTAAGATAGCGAATGAAACCAGCAAAAATTTACAATCTACTTACTTCAGAAGATAGGCTCCAGCAATATGAAAGACATAAAGTCCAATGTAGACAATCTGGCGAAAGATATCTTCCTAGTAGGAAGAAAAAAGTAATTATGCATTATACACAACATGATACACTATTGTACAATGTTATATACAAGTTAATCTCTAATCTTGGAAATTCTTGGTTTATAAGCTACCTTAATATGGCCCATTCTGGTACTGAATTACCCAGCCTAGATAATCTAATTCTACACATAACTTACTGCTTACTTACCAGTAACATTCAGTATCTTACACATACACTGTTGTGAGAAAACGTATCAAACATCAAAAATATGGCTTTTAAAAGGACCCATTTTTATTTGACATGACTACTATGAATTTCATTAGCTATTACAAGAGTTATTTGGTATGTTTTACTGTATCATCTGTTAACTTCCCACAGTTCCTCATGTTTGCTGCCCATCAGATTCTGTCAGATTGCTCCAAAAATGTGTCTGGAAACCTTTTCATTTTGGTCTATAAGTGTTGACATCTATTTTAAAAACTGAGGATCTTCCAAGATTCTGGCATACTGTTGCTGGCAAATGCAGAGAATGTTCTTAACCAGTCATTCTAAGCCACACGGTTACATTTCAAGCTAGGTTTTAGTCAGCTTTCTTCAGTTGAACACTTCATGGAGATGAAATAACGAAGAAGAGGCACAAATTCAAGTATAGACACACAGCACATGGAAAGCAGGTGTCATCTGTGAACAGAAGAATCAGTAAAGTATGCTAGATCACAATGGAAGTCTGTCTTGAAGTGGTATACTGAGTACAGTAGTTTAAGAAACTCCTCCTTTATGAAGATCCCAAATTTCAAGCAAGGAGCTCTAGCTTTGTCTTGTATACATGTAATACAAAAAAAAAAAAAAAAGGGCTAAAAATGTAATCTTGTAACATCTATGCTATGTTACGCAATACTCCAGCTCAAGGCCAACAAAAGCACAGAATCAAATAACTTGTGGCAACAGCAAATACCACACATGTGCACAAAGAGCAAGAAACAGATAAAGACCAACTCTAAATCATCTGAAAGAAAACAAAACCCAAGTTACTTCAGACAAATTAGCAAATGCTCAGGACAAGCATTCAGTTTCTCAAAATACTACCAGGACAAATCTTATGCACTTCATCTTCCGAACTCATGTAACAATTGAACAGCTTGTGCTGCCTGCTTTGATGAACTGTCAGAGAAAGAAGGCCTGACAGCTGAATTAACACAGGTGGGGGATACACTACTGTACAGATAGCTGAATCAGGAACATCTTTTCTTGTGTATGTCAGCAGTACAGACAACTGACTAGAAGAAACCAGTTCCTTCAAGAGAAGGAATAAGGCAGAGAAGCCAAGATTGCAGAGATTCAACTGTGGTTAAAGTGGTATCAACTATGAACTTGCTAAAACAAATGAAGTAACACTCTTAAAATTAAATGCAAAAGACAAGAGGCCAAAATTCCAAGCAGTAACCCAGTAAACCACTATTATTCAATATACAGCACTTCTGATACTTGTAATAGCTTTCTTGAATTATGTTAAAAAAAATAATCAGTGTTCATACTTCATCTGATCAGTAAGGAAAAAAAATAACTCTCAACGCTATTTTCCCAAGCTTCTTCTAGACTCTCAAGCAGAGACCTGCAGTTATGTAACATGTAAGCTCTTGACCAATGCAGAACTCGGGCAGCAGAGAGGCTGACTGGTCACAGAGTAACAATAGAATCACAGACTGGTTAGACCCTTCAGCTCAACTCTTCCTGGCAGGGACAGCTTTCACTGCATCAGGCTGCTCAAAGCCCCATCCAACCTGGCCTTCCTATCCAACACATCCAAGAAAGTGGCATCCACTTCTCTGAGCATCCTGTTTCAGCATATCACCGCCCTTATAATAAATAATTTCTTCCTATCTAATAAAAATCTACTCTCTTTCAGATTAAAATAATTGCTCCTTGTCCTGTCACTACAGGCCCTAAGAAAAAGCCCTTCTCCACCTTCCTTATCAGGTCCCTTCAAGTATTGAGTGGTCACAGTAAGGTCTCCCTAGAGTCTTCTCATCCTCAGGCTGAACAACCCCAACTCTCTCAGCCTTCACAGAAGAGGTGCTCCAGGCGCTCTGATAATTTTTTGTGGCCCTCCTCTGTACTGTCTCCAACAGGTCCATGTCTTTCTTGTGCTGGGGACCCCAAAAGTGGACACAGTACTCCAGGTGGGGTGTCATGAGAGTAAAGCAGAGAGACAGAATCACTCCTGTTGGTGTGCTGGCCATGCTTCTTCTGATGCAGCCCAGGATACAGTTGGCTTTCTGGGCTGCAATTGCACATTGCTGGTTCATGTCCAAGTTTTCATCACCCAGTAGCCACAAGTCCTCCTCCACACGGCAGCTCTCAACCCCTTCATTCCCCAGCCTGTAATGATGTTGGAGATACCCATGACCCACATGCAGAGCCTTACACTTGGCCTTGTTTGCACTTCTTGAAGTTTGTACGAGCCCAGCCCCCAAGCCTGTCAAGATTCCTTTGGATGGCATCCCTTCCCTCAAGCAAATCAACCACACTACTCACACCACTCAGCTAGCATCACCTGCAAACTTGCTGAGGGTGTATCAAACCCTCTGTGTGCCATTGACAAAGTTAAGAAATAGCATTGGTCCCAGAATCAATCCTTGTAACTAGTTTTCACATAGACATTGAGTAACTGACTGTAACTCTTTGGAAACAGCCATCCAGCCAGTTCCTTATCCATCTTACAGTCTATCCAACTAATCCATCTCTCTCCAGTCTGTAGGTAAGAATGCTGTGGGGGAACAGCCTTAACAGAAGTTCAGGTAGATGACATCAGTAGCTCTTCCTAATCTATTGATGCAGCCACTCTACGGCAGAAGGCCATCAAATTAGTCAAGTATGATTTACCCTTTGTGGAACCATGTTGAAGACTTCAAAACAAACATTTTAAAACAAAACTGCATATGAAAAGTAAGCCTGAGCACAATTATGCAAAGAGACTACTTAAATTGGCAATTGGGAGGCAACTTGAGTGCTACAGAAAATCCACAGTAAACACAGTGTTTTGAGAATCCCAACACAGAAAACACTCAAGGAGAAAAGGATGCTGTTAAAAATGGAGCAATGTCCATATACAACTAGCCAGAACTTCTGCTGAGGACAGTGGTATTTAAATACAATCTTGGAACTTAGTATTTTGTGGATTTATCAAATTATTCACTGCCTATATTCTACACCTGTATCATGATTCATGAAAAATTTCAGATTTCAATGAGACTATTGAGTCTACCAACAACAATAAAAAAAAGTGAAAAGAAAATCTCACTTTCATTTGCTCATGGAAAAATTAATTTAGTAGGCAAGAAACACTTGTAATTTTTTATTACCTGCCAGATAAACAGCATTTTTACTGCAGCTAGACATACAGGATTCAACTGAAAAGAAAACCCGTACTTTCTCACATGGACTTTTGAGCACTCAAAATTCCATCAGGAAAAATAGGTAACACAAATAAGGGCAGGTTAGGAAATCCAGAGTAAAACATTACTCTGGAAGTCCAAAAGAAATAACTGTTCCACTGTTTGAGTCGCTTTGTTTGGAGTTCTTTCAATTCACGTTTTAAACTTACTTTTTTAGTTTTCTGGAAGTATAATTCTGGCAAAGCATGAAACCAGTATGCCAACTGTAAGATGTAGAAAAACTTCATTTGAAACCTGTACAACACAGCAAGAATTGAAGAATATTACTTTTTTAATAATCAACTTTAAGAAACCTTCTAGAGAGCACATTTAGTCACTGTCTCCCAAGACAGAAAAATATAGATGCTTCAAGCCAGCCAACTCAAGAGTAAGGTTTTTAAAAAAACAAAATCACTAAGACAAATAAAGTTTGCAAAAACTTAGTTCTTTAAATAAGAACCCACAGAAAGAGAACTCTGTATGTTACAAATTGACGGAGAATCAAGTTCTCCATGAACACAAGCAAAAATAGTGACTAATGTAGTTTTACAGACTGCTTGTTCTACACATATTGTACATGACACATTCTAATTTTAAAACACCCCTTCCTCTTCCTCGCATTCCCCTAAGAAAGAGGTCTTACGGAATCAGAGTGTGCGGATAGTCTCTCCACAGAGAAGTTGGATCTGATATATAGTTCTCCTAAAAAGAAACAACCAAACAAAAAAACGCCAATAAACCTTCAAAGATAGTACTTCCAAGTCAGAAGTAATGAACATATATACAATGTGCATACAAATGTGCACTTCTACACACACAAGTAAAAGTTGCATATTAATATATTTCCTTTTAAAAAAACAAGTCAAACAAAAAAAGAGAGTTCTATAGTCTTAAGAAAATAAAGAACAACCAAACCAAGCATTCATTCTACATAGTGTCCTTATGAGATGGAGGTTATTTCAGCATCACTACAGCCATAAGTCTTCCCTTGTGAACTGCTGTAAAGCTTTGAGCTTAACTAAGGGAAGTTTTTTCAGAAGCCATTCTGTTAAGGGAAAAAAAATCATCACACTCTTCTCCTTTTTGAAACTAAGCTCGTTTACACACAGTTGCTAGCAAAGAGGATGCCACCTGAGCCTACAGCAATCTGTCCACATACCCCTTCCCACGGCTGTTAAAATGCTATGTATGATGCTTTTTTAACCATTCTTTTACACTAATAAGCCAACACAGAATAACTACAGAGAACGAAGCACCACAATAGAGTTAAAAAGTTTTACCTCATTCAGCTGACAGCAAATCAAACTAACTCAGACTGAGCAACAGTAATGCTACTGGACTTTATATTCACTGATGACTACAACCTACGAAGAATCCCTAAGCTTCTACCCACTTTAATATTAAAACCAGCTAAAAGCAGAACAAGCCAAAAACTTAATTTATCAACATCATAAGTGAGGGTTTTGAAATCTTGTAACACAAACAGAAGATAAATCATACTTACAGAGACAAGAATACTTGTTCCCCAAACACAGGAGAAAAGGTAGAATGCACTAAGTTGCCCAGACTCATTGAACTTGCTATGCTTTGTTTTTGAAAAGTGCATTTTCCTGTTAATTTTCTGAAATGAAAAGTCCATTGTTATTTACGTGCTGCAGTACTCAACATTTACCTGTTAACTGCATTAGAACATCTAAAAGTTTCAATGTATGTTTTAACAATTACAATCTTTAATGCAAAAGTTTATTTTAATGTTAATAAAGTCTAATTAAAACCTGACAATTATCTTGATGAAAGGAATTCGTATTTTGTACTTACATCTAGTACGTACTCCTGAATTATAGCATGTATGATTATTGCTACTAGCATGTAAAAGAAAATCGTAGCCAAGTCTTTGATGCCGTAGTGATAGAGAGAAACTGTTTCTGCAGATTGTTCTTCTAAAAGACAAACAGAATTAACAGTTAGGCATCAATACAGTTTAGTGGCTAATAAGTCTGCTTCTCGAAGTGAAACCTTTCAGCTTGCAGCCAGCTAAACAAATAGAAGTCAAATGAAACTGCCAGCATGAGCTAGGTCACTAGATTTATAGTAGTCTTCTTCATCACATCACAAACTAAATTAGATTTTGAAAGATGTACTACAAAAATGAACACTTTAAGTGCACTCAGGAAGCTTACCCAAATGCACCCAAAGGGGACTAAAAAAATTATGTTGAACTAACATGCCACTTTGACTAGTAAAGATTGACATTTGTAAAACCAGATTAAGTATTAACATTAACTTATTCACCGGTCAGATGGTGTTTCAGCACTAATGATGAAGCCAGCAGAACAGAAACATTGCCCTAAACCTAATTAATTAAAATGGAGTTTTACTAAAAATAAAAGTCCCTGAGAATTGCTTATTATCTACTCAAACTGACAAATTAACTTACCCTCAGTCTAGAAAGCAAGACATACTAATAGTGTCTGAACACACTTACCCCATAACTAACTTCTTGCAAGATACCTACCTGTGGCAGGAATGGTAACATTATACTGAAGTGTAACAAAAATGACAGCTGCTTTTGCTGTGATCTGAAAGAGAAAAAACAAAAGGGCTACAAATTCTCACCGAATAAACTATATTCAACCAAAACCATTTGCCCATAGTTTTAGTAACCTTCCCCAACATTCCTGTCCCATCCCATTATTCATATTATCACGCCATTTGTCTGACTTTCCAAAGGCAGAACATGTTGCATTACCTCTATAGGCTTGTTTACAGAATACCCTATCTCCTAAATGAAATATCCTTGAAATTGCTTCTTACAAATAGTGTTTTCTACAATGTTAAAATAAAACCATGTGCTGCAATTCTTTCTTCGGTCCACGCTGTATTATTACATTAACAGAACATACAATATCATGTCATCCCTAGACACATGTGTACATGATACATGTAGCAAAGGCTGAGAATAAGCTTAATTTAAAACTACTATTTTTCCTTTTTTTACAAAAATTGAAAGTCAGTACCATATTAATAAATCTGAACAATTTGGAAAATGTGGACAGGAAAGGAGAAAAGGCACAAAGAACAGAGTAACATTTCAGGCCAGCTGCATGCCAACTCAATACAACTAGCATTCTTTTGACCCTGGGGATCCTTTGGCAAGAAGCGTAAAACAGAAGAAATTTAATAGTAGAGGTACTTTCCCTTTACAAGTGAGAATAAGAAAAAGCAGAATGAATAAAAGAGACGAGGGTGGGGGGAAAGTTTGTTCTAAACCCTATTTTTCTTTTGAGGGGTGGGTACTACAGAAACACAAAGAAATAAGCATGAGCACCAGTTTCTGTCTGTCAATAAGCATGAATTTTCAACTTTACACAACCTTGTTGAATACCAACATGAATCAGCACGTCTTAAGAGAGAAGGAAAAATAACTATTATTTACAGTATTTATGATCTGATAATTTCTTACTGCTATAAAAACCTAGTATCTTTGTCGCATTTACAGAACCAACAAAACCCCTCCCCCCAAAACCCAAACTCCTTTACAAAACTTGGATGGATGCTTTGAGTACCTGAATATATTTACTAGGTTCCTACTACCAGCATTTATTATAATTCACAAGAAACAAGATCTGTTTGTTTTTAAAACGACCGCTTTGTAAATAAGCGTTAAGATTTTCTAGGAATCCCTGAATACAGTGGACTGCATGTAACTTCAGGGAATCCAACTGGTTTGCCTGAATTAGTGAAGTTGCCTACAGCTTCCTGTTCCTCAAGGGAGCCTTCAGAGGACAATTCAAAACGTCAGACAATTCTGAACTGCCCTTTGAAGGCTCTGTCAGCTACTCACACAGTCCTAATTCAGCTGCGCAAGGCAGGCATTACGAACACCTGACCATACCAACGTTAACCACAGCAGGTAATTTCCAAGACCTACACCAAAGCTTTTAAAACATCACAACAATCTTCTCAGCCATAGCACATATATCTGTACCAACAAAGGCATAGAGCCGTTTTATGCCGGGCTAGAAAACATCCATTAAAAAAAATAATAAAATTGAAACAAAGAAGGCTTCAGCACAACGAATCCCCCCTAAACTTCCCATCTTACCAGTAATACTGTAAGCACAGTAAGCCAGAAGTAGACATAAAAGGTAATGGTTTAAGTCCACCTCTTTAATCCCAGCTCCCAGAATACCACCATATAAGGACTGTCTTTGTGATTTTTGATAGTAAACCCAAACATAACAGCTTTCTTGGTCCGCTCTGCTTTTTTTCTTTTCGTATGTATTTTTTTTCTCCTAACTGCACCGGCCTCTAATGCTGAGCAAGTATCAGCAGCTGGATCAAATTATTCTAAAACCCATCCATATGACAAAAAGACCCACAACTCTAAACAAATGGCCAAAGTACCAGAAAGGCAGAAACAGCCAACAAAAATGGAAGCGTTTTATTTTTGACAGGGCACTACTGAGAAGAACATTTCCAGAAGTCACAGAGAGAACCTACACCTTTCCAGCTCTCCCAGAAAGCAGCCGACAGGAGGCAAAAATCCGCCCCTTCGGATCAGCAACCCCCAGCCGAAGGTTTTGCCGCCGCCGCACACCCCTCCAGCCGAGCTGATGAACTTTTTCGCGTCGTTTCGGAAGCGCTTCGATCGCTGCATCCCACACGGGGCCCTAGGCCTGCGGGGCAAACCCGAGCCGCGGGGGCAGCCCCGGGCAGGGCCCGCCCCCCGCGGCCGCCCGGCGCGCACAACACTGCCAACAAAGGCATAGAGCCGTTTTATGCCGGGCTAGAAAACATCCATTAAAAAAAATAATAAAATTGAAACAAAGAAGGCTTCAGCACAACGAATCCCCCCTAAACTTCCCATCTTACCAGTAATACTGTAAGCACAGTAAGCCAGAAGTAGACATAAAAGGTAATGGTTTAAGTCCACCTCTTTAATCCCAGCTCCCAGAATACCACCATATAAGGACTGTCTTTGTGATTTTTGATAGTAAACCCAAACATAACAGCTTTCTTGGTCCGCTCTGCTTTTTTTCTTTTCGTATGTATTTTTTTTCTCCTAACTGCACCGGCCTCTAATGCTGAGCAAGTATCAGCAGCTGGATCAAATTATTCTAAAACCCATCCATATGACAAAAAGACCCACAACTCTAAACAAATGGCCAAAGTACCAGAAAGGCAGAAACAGCCAACAAAAATGGAAGCGTTTTATTTTTGACAGGGCACTACTGAGAAGAACATTTCCAGAAGTCACAGAGAGAACCTACACCTTTCCAGCTCTCCCAGAAAGCAGCCGACAGGAGGCAAAAATCCGCCCCTTCGGATCAGCAACCCCCAGCCGAAGGTTTTGCCGCCGCCGCACACCCCTCCAGCCGAGCTGATGAACTTTTTCGCGTCGTTTCGGAAGCGCTTCGATCGCTGCATCCCACACGGGGCCCTAGGCCTGCGGGGCAAACCCGAGCCGCGGGGGCAGCCCCGGGCAGGGCCCGCCCCCCGCGGCCGCCCGGCGCGCACAACAC